GTCTATCGCGAGCGTTATATTTTGTATTCGCGCCGAGCGTTAGATTTTCGCGGCAAAGTTCGAATTCTCTCTCTCTCTCTCTTCGTATTATTGTTAATATTTGTAAATCCTATTCGCGTGCGTTAGTCTTTTGGCCCGTAAAAGACTGTAGATTTTTATGAATTAAACATTATTAATTTTATTCACCGTTTACGTCATTTCGTTTCCTAATAGCTTAACAGATCTATAAAGGATTAAGTTTTAATCCGATTTTGTCTAGGGGATTAGTCGGATTAAGCATTAGGTCACTCACACTTAAGATAGATCGAGTGTCACAAGTCAAGTGATTTAAGATGAGTTTAACTCGGTTGGAAAGAAGACACAGAAACGAAAGTATCAAACGTAAGGGCGAATACACATATAACTATACGTGTTTAATGAAGCGCGGTTAGCTCTGCATCGTGGGAGTTTATGCGTTAATAAATTCCCTATTGTACTAGCTATCCACCTCGTTACAATACTTAATGCTGAAATGTTATTGTTGATACTTATCTATTTTTTTTATTATCAGTATATATTGATTGATTAGTAATACTTATTTCATAAATTTTTCACTTCTAAACATTGATGATTATACAAATTTTTTCCAACGCGTTGCTAACAACTTTTTGTAAAACTATCATAGTGTCTTGTAACTCAGCAGCATTAAAAATCACACAAAGTCTCTTATTTTCTGAATGAAATTGGTCATCGTTTCTCAATTTAAATCTTATACCAGATGAAGCACGAATAGAGTCTGTGCTAATAAACTGATGTACGAAAACATCGATAGTCATGATGATAATTAACTCAAAATCAAAGTTTCGTTCTTAATATAATATCTCAGCTTTTCAGAGCTCTCCAAATATAGATTAAATTTCATTAACATGATTTTGATTACCAGCTGATGTTTCTGCAAGTAATAATCTAAATTGTTCTAGGAGCTTATTAAGATCATCCTAATGAATATAATCAGTACGAGTGTCATGTCATGCAATTTTATATGTTGTCGAACAGAAAATTCTTTACCACTTCTCCTCTAATTTTTTGGTATATTTATTGATAGAGTATAATGCTATGAAATAGTTGTAATATTTTTTATGTACATTAATCTTCTTTATAATTCTACCATATTCACTTATGTCATTTTACATTATTATAGAATAATTAGGCTTTTTCTTGAATAACATTTCTACTTACCCACTGCTTTGATCATAGCTGGCATTGTCTATAATAATTTTTTTATCTTCAAAACTTATTCGTTTATTATCAACCATCAAACGATTTTGATGTTTGCTTACACCATAAGCTATATCTAATGATGTCTGATTATTTTCCAATAACACCAAGAACTTATTTAGAGAATTACTTTCAGGAATATGATATACTTCATCATCATTTTTATCTATCACGGTAGGGTTTGTCGCTAAGTCCAGTCCAAAAAATTCTTTCTTGGTCAAGTCTTTTTTCGAAAAAGATTCCACTTTTTCATAACTGTCTTTTTCATCATTAAAGACTTTTCTGTTTCCTTAGATTCCAATAATTTCTCATCTTTTTTTCATTTTCACATGTTTAGAAACTAGTGGTTCATTAGTCAGTTTTTCAAGAGGTTTTATAATTGGTTTAATGTCTCTTTAACTAAATGCTTAGTTTCCAATTTATCAGACTTTAACTTATTATATTTCCATTTTATTGCTTTGCAAACTTTTCCATTTGACGAAGAAAATCAATCTGTTGATTAAATTCTACCATATTAATTATATCTCATCTAATTATAGACTGTCTATGTTAAGTTGAATTGTTTGAATTTATAATAAACTTATAGAATCCTTTTCTATATCTTCCAGCATCTATTTTTCGATTTTCGTCTAAAACGAGAAAACAGTAATCTTCTTTTCAGCAAAAGAACAAATATTATTGAAATATTGATATTACAAATCTGTGTTAACGTAATCATTATAAATATCTCGTAAATTCAAAAAATCTTGGCTAAAAATAATAAAATATTAACATTATCTTTTACTAAGTGTTTGGATACTTCGTACATGATTGACACAAGTAAAATCAATAAACATTTCTATGTCTACCCATATAATACGAAGCTTTTACATCTTGCTTCTCACATGCAATATCATTAAAAACCATAATGGAGTTTGGTCTTGCCTCGTCGGGCAATATAACATGCTTATGCTCGCTAAGTAAGTATTGAACACTTTTAATGCTCAAGAAGCTTTTCGAAAAATTTATAGTTTGGCTGGTTGAAAGACTTATAACATAGATAAATATTTACAAACTTCATGCAATTTGAATGGGTATTAATAAATCAATAATTAATTTACTTTTTGAAGCCCACGTATCTGGTTATTAGTACTGTGGATTTGGAACAAATCTACATAAGCAGCTGACTCGGAGAGATCTCAGCATTAATTTTCCAGATGCCACGTGTAAAGATCTCGACATCACTTATTCTAAGAACAAAGATATTTAAGCGCGATACGGTGCAGACAGAATATTAGCTGAAAAAGCTTGGGAACGCGTGTGTGGTTCCTATGTTAGTTGTGTGAAAAATCTGCTGCATATAGTGTTACAAACATTATGAAGACAAAATCATCGTTTGGAATAAGACTTGAAAAAAAAGAGTCACACAAAAAGACAAACTTTGAAAAAAAAAGACAGACTTTGAGTCTGAAAAAATCTGATTAGTACAAAAAAATACAACTTCTTGCTATGATTCAATAACTGTTATAAAGAGTTCTTTAAATGCAGCACATACAACTTTGAAAAATAATAGCGGAAAGAAAAGTATAAGTTTACCAAAAGTATTACCGGTTCCTAAACTTAAAGATTTTCTTCTAACACTTATCCAAGTTTTTGCAGGACTTTGTATATTGGAATCATTGGCAAGTAGAGCAGTAGAGCAGAAATAGCATATTATGTAAATGGAACATGTTCTGCAAAGCGAGAATCAGAACAACAAGCTAGGCATAATAAACACATCTAAACTTTAGTCGTTGATATAACTAACGTTATAAAATGCTGCCAATCGCATTGTCAGCTTCCTTGAAAATTACTACATTTATAAAAGTTTTTATGAATTTTGCTATTAGATTATATATTTTCATTTGTAGTTGAAAAAAAAATACTTCATATACAATACATTATTACACGTTACTCTATATAACTAACACTTCTTCGTCTAGGTCAGTTCTCCACAATTCAAAGGGCTTGCGATAAGATAAGTTCATTAAATATTTCAAGACCTTAATTTCGCAATCCAAAATACCTAATCCTTACTTCTATTATTCAATTTTAGGTATGAATTCATTTTTCAAATCACCGAATGCAGATGTTGTGAGGTTACAGCATAAACATCATAACGAAAAACGGTTACCAGTGGAAATATTCAAGTACTTCCCATCGAATAAGGTTTTGAAAATTTCGTATTACCAACGTATCGATTTTCCATTTGACAAAGTTAAGGAATGAGAAAAAAAACTATTTGTTTCATTTTCTATTCGTGCAAATTTTTTTTTATATTTTCAGAAAATTCTTTCTCATAACATATTTTCACAGGTCTGAAAAATCTAACACTGATGGAAGTAGGGTTTATCCAACTATATTCATCACTTCTTGAATGAAAAAAGCTGAATTATTTCAATATAAGTAACAAAAAGTGATACTTGAGCGTTTTTATCTTCATACTCTTTATTTTTAAACATCTACTGAGGATTTTTATGACCTCAAGAGCTGTCGAATCCTATAAAAATGCACATCTGTAAGTTGCGATATGTATTTTGAGGCCATTTAAAAACTAATGCTTCACACAACCGCTTATCAGTAATGTTGAGTAGCTATTGCAGAGAAACACTGACCTCAATATCATTCAGTGTTTCATAATTACATGGATAACACTTTTTCTTCTTCTATAGTTTTATAGTTTGGATAAATGTTGTGTTCTAATTTTTTTCTATCACTCCTTATTGCTTCAGTTGACGTTTACTAAAATCATTTTCTATTATAAATACTAAGGCTGAACTAGGCGTATGACTCTTTTGAAGATTATCTTTTTCTTTCACTTCAGGACATGGCTATTCTTGTGTATTATTCTGTTTGCAATATTAAATCAACTAATATTAAAGGGTAGATCGTAGAGCATATCTTAAGCTCGATGTTACAAAGTTATTCGAGATGCAGTATTCATCGATTTTTTTCTTCGGCCGCTATTTATGCTAGAGCGATTTTTCTTTGTCGACCTGGCTCTTCTTTTTGATCTTTTATTCGACGGGCAGAGTAATTCAGAAGAAAACGAGCTAAGTCATGAGTGATGAGTAATTATAGAAATTAGATTTACGATTTTCTAATTGAATATCCTGGCAATAATCTGATGAACAAAATCTAATTTACATTTATCAATTCTTATATGTATATATAATATTAAAACTTAATGCCCGGATCAAATGAACTTATAGAAATGGAATTTTGTTAAACCTGTATGTGCCATAAGTCAGTGAATGAAGGGAAAATACCTAGTAAAGCGGCTTTTCCCGTCACATTAGAAAGAAATGATTGAACAATAATGAATTTCGAATTCTTTTTCAGTAGAACATACCAAATATAGCTTGCCTCCAGCTATATATAAATATACATACATATATATAAATATAATTTTATGAATATATTTTATGAAGATTCCTTATAAAAATATCTAATATTTAATGTCAGATGATAAGAAAATCTAAAATATTCTTTGATTCGATACATTAAAGTACTGAAAAAATATTAGAATATCTGTTTTATATTTAGATAACATTTTCAATTCCTAACAAGGAAAATATATGCCTCTTCTAAAAAAGTAAAAGAAATTATAAAATAATATCATTGCTATATTGTCGTAGAAAATCATTCAAATTATTTAATAGCTATAATAAATAGAAACTTATGAAAATTAGTAATTAATTGCATAAGATTTTTTCAAAACCTACGTTCTTGTTCTGGATAATCATCATATTTGTCATCCTTATTCTTCATAAAAGGAAATTTCCGACTGAAAGAATAGTTTCTTCTTCTTCTGTCCAAATGTGGCTGTAAAAAGTAAAAAAATCAGATATTCAAATAATTGAACTTAATTAAAATTTATATTATATTTTTATCAAAATTAATTGAAGTAGATAATGAACGTGCCATCATTAATATAAACCGTCTCTCAAATTCGCAGAGCTTGAGCCATACTGACTAAATCGAACAACTTAGATTTTTAGTCCAAGAAAAAGAGTGACGTCAAATTCTAAGGTTTTTTAGCCTGGTTTTCAGACATCTGTAAATTCAAGTAGAATGGATGCAAAGTAATGTATGAGGTCTCAAAATGTTGGTATGTTAATAGACTCTTACGAAAACTGTGTTAGATCATGTAGAAAGCCAACCATCTCTTGGAATAGAGGGGGAAAAACCCTATTTTGGTTCGCGACCGCCATCGCGACCACATGACAGTTATTAATAATTCCGTAAAAAGCATAAAAAATGAGCTCTCTTATTAAGATAGAGAGTTTCTGAGGTTGCTGAACATCAATATAACATCTACGAGTACCTCCGAGGTACCTGGTGACCAAGGTGACTGGCATGAACGTCGTCTCCTGAAGTTTCTAGTTACATTTTTTGAAAATCGTAACTCGGGAGTTTTTGAGGTCGCTGAACGCGAATGGAACATTAGCTAGGGCCTTCGAGTTAATTAGAGGCTAGAATGATCAATATAACGTCGTTTTCGGGAGTTTTCCACTAAATTGCATAATACGTATATAGTATAACGAGCCGAGTCTCGTTATGTCTCTCTCTCCCCTTAAGCCAATCATAATTTATTAACAACCTATGTATTCTTCTTATGTGATTTTGTCTTGCCGCAGCTGTGGATGCGGCACGAGGTAAGTAAGAAAGCACCGAGTAGAGAGAGAGATCCACGTGTAAGCGTGAGTGCGTGGACGCTCGAGTGTCGCGCACGTTTGCCTAATGGCTGAGACGCGCCGCTGCCGAATAACCAGCGCGAGAGAGGGGGAGCCCTTCCGCGTGCGAGCCACAATCTGCGGCCCGCCTTCGCGAGGAAAGCAAGCCCGGCTATCACCGCGACGAATAAGTGCCTTGTGCTACGCAGCTAGTATTTTTCGCCGATAAGGACCGAGGGTGCAGAGTGCGTGCGTGCGTGCGTGCGTGTGCGCAGATAATTGTCGATCAGCCTGAGAGAGCTGCCTCGTGGCCGAGCACCTGCGCGTGTCAGGAGTAAATCCGAGGCTACTGCGAACCCGTCATGTAAGTGCCCGCTCAATCATCAGACTCTCTCTCTCGCTTGCTTCTCGCTTCCCCCTCTCACTGCGAATGCTACTTGTATGCTTCCCTTGTTATCTTCGTTTTAATAAACACTCTTTCTGCTAACCGCTGCATCTTTCCTCTCGGTACTTCCCTCTCCCGTGTTACGTGCGCGCTGGCTCGCACCGCCCGCTGTTACCTGACCTACGACGCTCTCCGCGGGTCGAAGGCAAGGGTGCCTTCGAGGGGCATATCTGAGCCACTAGGCTGAGTCTCGCGTGACCCCATAACGAGTTACCCGCAAGTCGAGTAGCTACTTAGCATCACCCTTAACGGGGTAGCAAGAACCCCGTTACATTTTGGCGTCCAACCGGTATTGGGTCTGTAGTAGCTAAATACGCAAGTCAAAAAAATTCAAGCGTAAACGCGCGTACCAAAAAGCGAAAACAAGTAAAGACAGGTACGCAAGCCGTCGTGTTTACATTCCAAACGCGAGCGCGCGATGTAAACAAAGCGGTGGCTACAAGGCATCGTACACACTGAGGAGCGACATAAACAGCGTCGCAACTTACGAAAAGGCCGTACTGCGAATAAAAGCAACAGCGGGAGCTAATTCAAACGCCCGTATACAAATACTACGCGCAACATTAAAAACTGTAAGTTCGCCACCCAAAACATGTAAGCGTCGGCGAAACGTGCGTTACGCGGCTCACTAGATAGAACATTAACGATTCGTGTTTGGAGTCAATCGATGTAACTGCCGAGCGTCGGTTGAGAATTTTCGACCATTCACGGAGTTCCATTAATCGCTAAATCCACTTATTTATTTATCTTTCTTTCCATTCTCTTTCGCTCGTGGTCCGTATAAAACTTCCTTTTCCTTTGGTTATTTGGCTTTTTTTTTACAAACCCCACAAGCAGACGAAATGGCAACCGACAGCTGGACAATCGAAAACTTAACAATTTTCAAAGATAACATTAATACTCGTTTAAAATTATGGATTCAAGGGCTGCCAAGCGATGTCATGGCAGACGCGTTAAACTGTTTAGAGCTGCGAAACGATGGTTCGATATACGAAAGAGGGAACAGATTGTACCGACGATTGAACGGCGACTACACCGGGAGCGACTTTATACAAATGCGCTTCCATAATCCAACATTAGCGGAAGAAAAACGAAATGATTTAGCACGCACCTTCTTCCAGTCAGAATTCCTGCCGGACGATATACTCGACGATATTCGTACGGTGCTAGACGCGGAAATGACGCTAGGTGCCAACGGCGAAAAGGAAGATGACGAAGAGCAATTAGGCTTCGCAGCAAGCTCGCGACAAGGAGCCGCAGAGCCGATCGACATGTCGCTCACGTTAGAAGAGAACCCTCAAATAGCACCGATTCTTCAGAACAGAGCTCACGCGCAGACGCCAGTCAACGAAAGCTGGAATCCTAACCACCTCTTAAACTCGCCGAACGTTACACAGAGCGAGCCGATTGTGACCTCCAGCATGCAATCGGAGCCCCGGGTTACAGCAAGTGCAATGAGCTTAAAGCATAGCAGCGAGACGTATACTGCACAATATTACGCCGCGCCGGCAGTCGAACCGGCCACTTTTCCAGCTACAAACCGAACAATGCGCGTAATGTTCCCCGATCAAAGCGAACACTGGCTGAGTACGGCGGCGGCTGCAGAGCTGAAACGGGCGTGGCAAGCAAAGTTCCAGACACGCGTTTTAAAAGAAAACTTGAACGGCCTCTGGGCTACGCAGCAAGCAGAAATGCAAGAATTAATGCTGCGTAACACAAAACAAGAAAAACGAATAGAGGAACTGCTGCAAACCATCGCCACATTACGATCGGAAAAAAGCAATGTAGAGCGAGTAAACAGCGATCTACAGGCGCAAATGAAAAACGTAGTCGCTAATGCTCAACAGCAGACGGCCGAAAATCAAGCGCGTTGGAACGCGACACGATCGAGCAAAGGAGTTCATTTCCAAGACACGTTCGATTTAAACTACTACGAGCTATCAAGCCAGTTTGATGGCTCAATACGATCGTTACCCTCAACACTGAACCCGCAAGCGCCGATATTTCACTCGACCACGAGACCATCAATGCAAAATCAGCACGAGGTGCCGCAAATGGCGACTATAGTGGCAAGTACGCACTCGACGATCACAGCAACAAACTACGCCCCACAGCTTCCTTCCGTAGGTACAAACGGGGGAAGGGGAACCTCTGCAAAGCCACAATACACTGCTGTCCTGGTTGCTCCGCCGTTTGGCCCTTTTATCCCCGTAAGCTCGAGCTGGGGGAGGGAGGTTGTGCCGAAGATGGCGGACGATTCGCTCGCGCTCCCGGTGTCGAGACAGGCAGCAAGCCACAGCACAGGGGGGGCCCTCACCACACACCCTCAACACGATGGAGATGTCGCGCTTTATGAGCAAGCACTCGGAAAGACGGTCCGGGAGTGGAAGATAAAATTCTCGGGCGAAAAAGGAGTTAGTATCGAGGAGTTCCTGGAGCAAGTAGAGGAGAATCGCCGGCCAGACCGAGTTGCGGAAGACGCCGCTGTTCGAGAAGCCTGCGTTGTTCTGATTTCGAGCTTTGAGGCCCGCATGGAAAACGTACCAAGAATTCAAGGACGCGGCACTCAAGACGTACAGCAAGACAAAAAGGAACAGAAGGAACCTGATCGTGGAAGCCCAACTGCGCACTCAGGGGGAAGATGAGCCCGTGAGAGACTACGTCGTCTCTCTCCTCACCATTCTCGGCCGGTTCAAGGAGCCTTGGGAGGCGCAGGACCAAGTGAACCTAGTCATAGATAATATGCTTCCACGACTGCAGCGACGACTAAAGCGGTGCAAAGATAGCTTGACCGACTTTCAAGAGCTGCTGGAAAGAGCTCAAGAAGCAGAAGACGATGAGGTAGGCCAATGGAGGCCTCCTCCTCCGGTGAAACAAAGTATGCTGCCGGAAGCGGCTTATAAGCCCAGGTCGAGGGCGGGCTGGATAAAGTCAACCGGCATCGTCTCGGTCAGCGAACAAGCTGCGGAGCTGAACTGGGAAGCATGCCTCAGGGAATTCTTAGAGTAAAAACTCAAGCCGGCCAACGGAGCAATGGCCCAGACGTCGTCAATCCGAAGTCACGGAAGTCAAGGTGCTGTAGCAAAGCCCGAGCAGGGCACTCAGGCGGCGGCAAAGGCCGAGGCCGGCGCGGCACCCAGAGGACCGCCAGGTGGTGGCCGAGGCGGGAAAGGTGGAAACCGTGGAGGCAGAAGTGGTGGTCGTTCCGGAGGTAATCAGGCCCAGATCGTCACTCCAAAGTCCGACAAGAATAAGGACAAAGAAATTGGCCCCAGTGGCGACAAAGTTCTCTGCTGGAATTGCAGCTGGCCCGGTCATACCCGATTCTCCTGCCCGGAGTGCTCAGCCAAACTAGCAGAGACAAAAAACGAGAGGGGGAGCGCGTAGAAAGGGTTCCTACCGCTCCTCAGGAAGACCGGACCTTCGCTACGGACGGCGTTACAGGAGTAGCGCAGACGCTTCGCAGCACGGCGGATGACTCCACGCTAGCCTCGAGTAATCCGACCGACGCGCAGCTGCCGTGCGATGGAGGTACTGTAGTCAGCGCCGTCGTAGAGAAGTCACCCGGGTGGTAGCTGACGGTAGACGTCGGCGGCTATTCATTTAGAGGGTTGTACGACACCGGAGCTTCCCGCACCGTCCTTAGCCCAAACGCGTTACAAATCGCCTCGGCGCTTAAACGCCGAGTGCATCCGTACGTAGGC